ACGCTCTGAACCCTTAGCCCACACATCAACCGTAAACGTATGTATTGCACCACGTAGCTCGCACCACACAGTTTCCACTTGGGCGCACCATGTAGCTTTCACTGCAGGGCTTGCAGCACATGTATACACAAAACGCATGACATAACTTGCAACGCGCTGATTGCACATCGACTACACAAGACTACTTTGGGGAGGGGGAAACAAAATGATTAACAAATTCACATCACGCTGGGGTGTAAGACATTACTGTGCGTTGATGTGTTGACCCATTCCTTTATGCACCTTTCGCGGTGGCGACAACATCGCCAGCATGAATGCTCAGACCCAAGAGTCCTGGCTGATCCCTTCAACGGTGGCGCCAACGCCGACGACGCAACGGCTCAGATCCGAGTCGCCGTGTCGAGCATCGCACGACAGCAGTGACAGCGTGAAAGCACTGCCCCAACTGGCGAGGCAAATCTCGGAGGAGGGCCACTTGAGACCACGGCGGCTGTCCCGCCGCCCGACCCAACTCCGGTAAAAATCGGCCTCCGGGCCCCTCCTGGGGTCCACTCTGACCCGTGTGGACCCAGCCGAAAGCGCGCGATGACTGCGAATCGAACAGACGGACCGCCCGACTATGACGCAGAACAGCGAAGCGCCCCACGATTGTGAAGCAGGAAAACAAGCATGTCACACGAATTCTTAAAGCAAAAATGAAGGAAGAGGAGGAGGAGGAAGAGGACGAGGAGGAGGAGGAGGAGGAGGAAGAGGTGGACCCAGCCGTGACGACGCGAGGCCCCCGAGAGGCCCCCCACAAGAGCAGAAAGCGCCCGGGAGGCCACCGTTTGTCCCGTCCGGCCCTCCTCCGAGCATCCTCTTCGGCGGTGGCGTCACGGTCATCTCAAGGACTGGCAGCTCCAGCGGCAAGGATCGACACTCACGGACGGTTCCCAGATGGCGGCGCCAGCGGACGCAGGGACGTCATCGTCCTTACCCCTGCCCCGAACGGAGCCCCAAAAGGTCCCTAAGCAAGAGGTCCCCACAGGCCTTCAAGATGGCCCCGAGGGGGCCTCAACATGGCCCCACTGCTCTTCCAAGGGGCCCCCCAAATCGAAAAGATCTGCGAATGCAGGTATGCTTGACTCCTGGTCCTGCTCAGGATGATCCCGAGCTTCAGTTTGACAGTTGCCCCCCTCGTTCCACTGCTTGCTCCTGCACCTCCCTGATCCAGGCAGCTCGCCTTGGCATCGTTTCAGGATGGGCGGTAGAGAATACGTGAAACGCCACCAATTAGACGGTGCAGGAAGCATTGCCCAAACAGGGTTTGGCTGGAGTGTTTCCCAACTTCCTAACTTCACTACAGCCGAACACACGATCAAGAAAACCATAGATTATGAAATCTGGTCCAGCTTCCTGGAAACTTCCTGACACAAGCCTGGGCCAAGTCTGTCGTTGACGCTGGAACGGCGAACGCGCTCCAGAATCCCTGCCAGCTTTCCGGCAAGTTGGCTAAGAAACGCTGGCCCAACTTTTCGGGAGGAGGATTCATACAGTCCACCCGTACAGAGATGCAGGGGCCTTGGAGGGACATGCTAGCGTTTCTCGAACGGGGTCGGCCAGCGAGAGTCGCCAAGGATGGGCCGAGGGGACAAGAATGCAAGGATACCCCTGGGAAGGTGGCGAACCCTTCGAGACGGTTTGTTTTTGACTCGGCGAGAGCCCGGGTTATATCCCGGGGGGGGGGAGGAGGGTGCCGGTCGATAACCGATAACCTCACCCTCGCGCTGTGGGCAGCCCTAACCAGATGCCCGCGCCCCCCCTCCCGCGGACCTGCACAACCGGCAAGGTCAGGCTACCTCGGGGATGGACAGACCCCCCTTTAGTAAAACGTGGTTTAGTGAAAACGACCTGAGGCCCAAACCTGGCGGGCGCGAGCCTGGAAAGTAACGGCCGCGGCGCCCTCTCGAGAACCGAAAACGGACAATTCACTAATCGACGTGTCACTGTTGGGGGTTCTGTCCACCCCCGAAGGCTATCCTGGGGGGGGGGGAGGCCCTCAAAAAAAAAACACAGTCCCTTGCAATGCTGAGTATACCGCTGCGTGGCCTCGCAGAGCGGCTGGTGCGCAGGCCTGGTGTCAAGTCGGGCCTGTCCCCCTACGGGGGGATCTGGGAGGAAGAATACAAAGTGGTCCAAGGATACTCCAAAATTGCCCCCCCCCCCCCCCCCAAAAAAAATACAGCAGAAATAGTCCCCAGGCTATTTTTGTTTTACTATTTTGGAATACTCCTCCTGTAGAGGGACAGGCCCGACTCGGCAGTGGACAAACCTCCCTTTAGTAGACCTCACCTCAGTGAAAACGGCCTGGGACCGAAACCGACGGACCCGGACCCGCAAAAACGACGGCCGCGACGCCCCCTCGCGAACGGAACACGGCCCATTCCTGCATCGACGTGTCGGGGTATAGGAGGTCTGTCCACCCCCGACCGACCTGAGCCCGGTGCCGTGCCCCCCGGGCAGGCCCGCCCGCGCCGGAGCGGGGGGCGGGCTCCGGCAGGCCTCCCCCCGCACCGCGGGCGGGGGGCCCCTCTGGAAGGGGGAGGAGGAGGAGGAGGGAGGAGGAGGAGGAGGAGGAGGAGGAGGAGAGGAGGAGGAGGAGGAGGAGGAGGAGGAGGATGGAGGAGAGGAGGAGGAGAGGAGGAGGATGGAGGAGGAGGATGGAGGAGGAGGAGGAGGAGGAGGAGGAGGATGGCCGCGGGGGGGTCCCGCGCCGGGCTGGGCCAGCGGGCGCACCGCCCGGGGCAGGCGCCGAGAGTGGAGGGCTCCTATAGCTTCGCGCTCTCGCGCTGCGCGAAGCGCGAAGCGCGGAGCACCTCGCGCTCTCGCGCCGCCTCCCAGGGGGAGGAGAGGAGGGCGAGGAGGAGGAATCGGAGCCGTACCGCGAAGCGCGAGGCGCGAAGAGCTTCGCGCCCTCGAGGGCGCCCTTGGAGAGGGAGGAGACGAGGGAGGCAGGTGCGGCGCAGCAGGGAATCGAGCTCTATATACACCGACGTTTTGTTCCGGCCCTGCATTGAAATCTGCACTGGGGAGCGGATCCTGGTGCAGACGGGACCCTGGTGTCTACATTTCTTGCTGTTTCCCCGGGACATCAGGGAAAAAAGTATACACCACACCACCCCAGCGTCGTCCCCGACCCTCAAAAAGTCCTGGGATTGAAAACAGCCCGCCACTGGCAATGTATATATTCCAATTCCCGACACAGGGCGCCAGCAGCCTGCTCGGGAAGGGGGGGTGCCGTGCGACGAGGAAGGAGCCACCTCCTCGGGAGGAGACTCCTCGGGAGGGGGGGGGGGCACGAGGGAGACGGCACGACACCGGAAGCCATGAGGAAGCTCCTCGGCAGGGGGGAAGGGGAAGGGAGGAGAGGAGGGGAAGGAGGCTGGGAGGGGAGGAGAGGAGGGGAAGGAGGGAGGGGAGGGAGACTAGCTAGGTGCGCTCGCGTCATGTCTGACGTCCTACCCCTCCCTGCCATCCCTTACCATGGCGTAGATCTCTTCTCTATTCGCGCAGTCGGGTGTCGTAGCAGGGCATAACAGTACATGGCATAGCATGGTGCTGAAGATCAACGCATTGCCTGACATAGCATGACGTAGCGACGACCCAAAGGGGGGGGCTTCTGCGGTCCAAAGAAGTACACGAATCGGCACCGAATGTGAAAGCATTTCCGATGGTTGTTTCGGGGGAGCATTTTCTCGATTTGGGGGCCGATTTGGAAGGACCGAAAACCATGCCGTGCCATGGCGCTGGATACAATGACGCCAGCGCTGCAGCGAGAGCACGATTCGGAACGAGCGGAAGCGCGGAAATGAGGCCAGCGCTGCAGCGGGAGCACGATTCGGAGGACGCGTAGCCTGACATAGCATGGCGTGGCGATGCCCCAAATTGGGGGGGGGGGCTTCTGCGGTCCAAAGAAGTACACGAATCGGCACCGAATGTGTAAGCAATTCCGATGGCTGTTTCGGGGGAGCATTTTCTCGATTTGGGGGCCGATTTGGAAGGACCGAAAACCATGCCGTGGCATGGCGCTGGATACAATAACGCCAGCGCTGCAGCGGGAGCACGATTCGGAACGAGCGGAAGCGCGGAAATGAGGCCAGCGCTGCAGAGGGAGCACGATTTGGAACGAGCGGTAGCCCGAAAACGAGGCCAGCGCTTCAGCGAGAGCAGCATCTTGATACAAAAGACCCAGCGAAAACCCGTGTCCTGGGAATCCTGTGTGGAAAAAATACGCGGACTGGGGCCGAATACTTCCCAGATTTCACCCGGGGAGAGAGGAGAGTAGTATTCATACAGTGTAGTTGTGGGAGGAGGGAGGGAGGAGAGGAGGGGAAGAAGGCTGGGAGGGGAGGGAGGGAGGGAGAGGAGGAGAGGAGATGACGGCAAGGAGGGAGGGAAGGAGGCTGGGAGGGAGGAGGGAGGGAGGGAAGGCCGGGAGGGCACGGCGGGGAGCGGGGAAGCAGACAAGGGGCACGATGGGTCCAGCAAGGGGGCAGAGCGGGGAAGGAGACGCGGAGGAGCAGAACACTGCGTTCAGTCGGGGCGTCGACCCTCCCCCTCCTCCCCCTCCTCCCTCCCCCCTCCCCCTCCTCCCCCTCCTCCCCCTCCTCCCCCCTCCTCACCCTCTCCTGCCCCTCCTCCCCCTCCTGCCCCTCCTCCCCCTCCTCCCCCTCCCTCCCCCTCCTAAGGATTCTCGGGCCGGGCGAAAGGGGCGGAGAGCAAAAGAGGGGCTTGAGAATCGGCTCACGTAGCTGCTTTTCCCGGCGCCTCCCGGCGCCGGAGACGGCCATGCATCGAGGAAGGGGCCCCTTGGTGGGGCCGAAGCCAGCTGCATGCAGCAGATTTCGTACCCACCCTTTCCCAATCCCCCCCTTGCGTCCGGCCCGAGATTCAGGAACGAGGCCCCTTTTTTCCAGAAGTTAACTTTGACTTCCCATCGAAAACCTGTGGAAAACCAACTCAGGGACACTCAGCCCCTCCCACACGAGCGCCCCGACTGTAAACCTGAGTTTTCGGAATTCCGCCCGGATTTCCTGGATCTGCGCGGAACCGCCGAGCCCCCCTCCCTGGCACGCGGAGCGCGCGGGGGGGGGTCCAGCGCAGGTCTAAGGAATCCGCGCGGAGCTCGAAAAGTTCAAGTTTACGCGGCTTGCTTTTTCGACAGAGTGATGATGTGAAGGGCAACGATCGGGGGGACCTGCTCGGGGGGGACATCGAGATGGAATCGACGAGACATCGCCGATGGATCGGCGGTAGCGAATCCGCACCTTCCTGGGTGGGGTAAGCTATCAGGCCCCTATCGGCGATCGATGGCCGATTGGGGTCGATGCATCCCCCCCTGAGCATCTCCCCCCCTGACGTTGCAGATGGCGGGGAGGACGTGACGGCCTCTGTCGCTCCGGGGCCCGCGATGCTCAGCCGTCGCTTGACCCGGGCCTGCGACCCCATTTCTGATTCTCGGAGGAGTGCCAGTTGAGACAACCGCTGCGGCTTAGTTCCGGCTGGATCAAATTCCCTGAGTTCCAGGCGATGCAATTTCCCGAATAGCGTTTCGCTAAAGGTTTCTGGTGATGATGTTAAACACCGAAAGATTGCGCGGGGGACGGGGCGCCCTAGACCGCCCGCGGTCGGCCAGCTGGTGCGGCAGCCGGTCTGGAAGCCGTTTCGCCGGAGACTTCCTAACAATTTCACAAACAAAGCTTGCACTCAGGGGTGCTAACTTCTGTTCGAAAGCAAGTGGGCTGGTGTGCCGGTCTTGCGGCTACAGTCGGGGCGCTGACCTAAGGAACCCTAAATAAGGAAGGAGGCCCCTCTTTTCCAGAAGTCAACCTTCGGTTTCCTGTCGAAAACATAAGGAAAGCCTGAGGCAAGCTGTGAAACACTTAAGGAACGCGGAGCCCCTCCCCAACGAAAAGGGTTCTTTCTTCAAGGCCCCGACTGTATGTTGTGGCCATCGCCGCCCTGGCGCCGCTTCGTCGCCGCCCGTCGTCTGGGCGGGTGTGTCGTTTTGGCGGCTGTGTTGTTGCTGTTGCTGCCCGGCCGCCGCCTCCTCGCCGCCATACCTGGGCCTGTCTGTCGGTCTGGCGGCTATGTTGTCGCTTTCGCCGCCCCGACATAGATCCTCTTTTCAACCACCCTCCCGACGCCGAAGTTATCGATCCCCCGAGGGGGTGCGCAATTCACGCGCGATTCTGCCCCCATCGCTCATTTTTCAAATTAAACTCACATCATCCTAGCAAAATTTCTACCGACACCCCCTTCTCATCCTCGCCGAATCATACCATGCACATACTCGTTGATCACAAATCATCCATCTGCAAAAGCCCCTGGCACAGAACAGGACGAAATGCACACGCGCGGGCCGTCGAGCGCGCATGCCAAAATCCTTCAAAAACCGTGGGCTTCGCACAGAAACAACATCGGGTGCCCCGAAAACACATAAACGACACATGGTGTTGCATACGGATTTTTCAAACACGATCTGCGCGTTCTTGCGACTCTTTTCTAGAAACCACTTTGAAGGTTCTCGGCATGTTCACCACATGCGACAAACGGGCCTCTCGCGCGCGCATGTCGAAATCATTCGAATGCCCTTGCGTCCGTGCTGGGGGGGAGGGGGGGCACCATCCCTGTCAACGAATACCATGCGTTCCACTCGCGAACGACGGTCGCGCGCGCGCATGTCGGAAATGTTTCAAACCTCCATCACCGACGCGTGGACACCATCATCGCCATCGGCGTGATCAGCATGTGCGCCGTCCTTGGCCTCGCCGTCAACATCGTCATCGTCGTCACCAGAATGGTTCTTATCATCGCGTCTGCCGTTGTCGACGTCGCCGTGATACCGCGCACGCCCGAATCAATGGCTCACGCTGGAGTGCCCGCGCGCAAGTGCGGCCTGCGAAACGCACTGGGGGCCCCGAGCGGTTCAGCGCCAATGCGGCCGCGTCGGTCGCGCCACACTACCTGGCCGCTGGGCACGCGAGCCTGCGCGGGCGAGCGCGGCCGCACCGATGCGCCAGCCAGCTCCAAGCAGTCATCGCAATCGCCGCCGCATTGGTTCTGCAAACCAAACTGCTGCGGACGGGCGGGCGGGATGATTGCGCGAACAATGGGGTTGACGATTCACTGCGAACAGAAATTCGTTGGATTTTTTCTCAAAGGAGAGAATATGCGCTACCCCCCCCCGGGATTATCACATCCCCTCTTCGTATCGCAATTTACAAATGATTCTGCCCAATCATCCATCCGAAGTGCGAATTCGCGCCACCCCGGGGGAGCCGGTATCTGCAAAAAACGACTATGCGTGCACACTCGCTGATCCCAAACCATCAGTGTTCAAAAACCCCGTCCAAAAAAGGCACGAACTGCACACGCGCGCGTCGACGTGCGCGCATGCCGGAATCCTTCGAACCACTGTTGGTTTCGGAAGGATTACAAAATCGAGCGCTATAATATATATATATATGTGTGTGTATGTGTATGTGTATATATATGGGTTTCGCGACACTGGTATCAAGAACATAAACCTTGCGCACGCGCTAAGGCTCATTTTATATATATATATATATATATATATATATATATATATAATGAATTCAACACTTCACAGAAAAAACAGGCTTAGAGCGCGCGCGTGTCGAAATCGTTCGAACGCCCTTGCGCGCGTGCCCTCGTGAGAACCCATTGGGAACAATACGGTGAAGTGCACGCGCGCGCGTTGTCACGCGTGCATGCCGTAATCCTTCAAGAACCGTCGGTTCCGTTGGGGGTTCAACCGAATGTTCAAAAAAACATGTAACAAAAAACTGGATTCGCAACATCACTATTCCGATCCATAAAAAAGGCGTGCGCCCGCGCTCTTGCGAAATTTTGGAGAAACCACTGGGTTGTTCAACATGTTCATGGAACTCTGCCAAACAGGCCCCAAGCGCCGCATGCCGAAATCATTCAAACGCTCTTGCGCGCGCGCTGAGGGGCACGATCCGTGGCAAATAAAACCACGCGGGCCGCTCTCGCGCGTCGGCCGCGCGCGAATACAGATTTTTTCCAAAACCTTCATCACCGACGCGACGACGCCATCATCGTCGCCGGCGTGATCAGCATCCGCGCCGTCACTGGCCTCGCCGTCGTCGCTGTCACCATCACCACCCGCATCGCTGCTATCATCACCGTGCCTACCTTTGTCGACGTTGCCATGATACCGCGCCCGCCCAGGGCGCCGACTCGCACTGAAGCGCCCTCTGGTCGCACCAAATTAGCTGGCCGCTGCGCGCGCGCGCATGCGCGGGCTGTCGCGGCCGCAAAGATGCACCAGCTAGCGCCAAGCACTCATCGCAATCGCCGCCGCATGGGGTTTGCAAACCAAGGTGCGGGTGGGTGGGCGGGATGTCTGCGCGAGCAGCGGAGTGGACAATTTCAAGTCGAGCACTGGCGGGCTGCACCGCATAGGATCTTCTTCCCAAAAAAAAAAACTCAATCCCCCCCCCTCGGATTACCACCTGTCCTTTTCATATTGCGAGTTACGTGTGATTTTGCCCCATTGACCATCCTAAATATGAACTCACCAGCCCAGGGGGGGGCGGTATCCGCCGCCCCCCCCCCGCCATCCTCTGCAAAAAACTTATACGCGCGCACACTCGCATATCAGAACTCACATCAATTTTCAAAAACCCCTTCAAAAAATGAAACGGGGTGCACACGACCGCGTCGTCGCGCGCGCATGCCGGAATCCTTAGAAAAACCGCCGGTGTCGCAAGGATTGCAACGCCGAGTGTCCACAAGAAAAACATACACGAAACAAAAGGTTTCGCAACGCGGATTTTCAAAAAAGCTCGCGTGCGCTTTTGCGAACCCTAAAGGGAACCACGGGTTTTAACAAGTGTATAACATGCTACCAGAAGGGTTTCGCGCGCGCGCATGTCGACATCGTTCGAACGCCCTTGCGCGCGTGCCGTCGCGAGAATCCTTTGCAACAGATAAGTCGACGTGCACGCGCGCGCGTCGTCGCGCGCATGCCCCGCATGTTGCCGCGCACGCCCCGGGGGAAAAAACAAAAACACGTTTCAAAGCCGAGTGTCCAGAAACAACATACAAACACGTTTCCAAACATCACTTGCGCGCTCGCGCTCTTGCGGTATCTTGAAGAAACCATGGGTCGTCAACACTGGCATGGAATTCTGCTAAACAGACCTCTCGCGCCGCACGCCGACATCATTCGCACGCCCTTGCGCGCGTGCTGGCGGGGGCACGATCCGTGGCAAAGAAAACCATGCGCGCCACTCTCGCGCGTCGGCCGCGCGCGCATGTCGAAATCTTTCCAGAACCTCCATCACCGACGCGAGGACGCCGTCATCATCGTCGGCGTGATCAGCATCGGCGCCCGCACTGGCCGCTCCGTCGTCGTTGCCAACATCGTCACCAGTACCGTTGCTATTCTCATCGTGTCTACCTTTGCCGACGTTGCCATGATACCGCGCCCGCCCAAGTCGCCGACTGTCACTGAAGTGCCCGCTGGGATGTGCCCAGCGGTCAACGCCACCGCGGCCGCGTCGGTCGCGCCAAACTAGCTGGCCGCTGCGCGCGCGTGCTTGGGTTGGCGCGGCCGTGGAGATGGACCAGCCAACGCCAAGCACTCATCGCAATCGCCACCGCATGTGTTTTACAAACCAAATTGCGGGTGGGTAAGTGTGATGATTGCGCGAGCAGTGGAGTTGACAACTCACTGTGAACAGCAATTGATTGAACCTCCTCCCTCGTCGTCTTTGTCGGCGTTTCGTCGTTGTCCCTCCTATGTCGTCGCCGTCGTCGTCGTCGTCGTCGTCTCCCCTCCTCCCTCGTCGTTGTCGTCGTCGCCGTCGTCGTCCTCCCTCCTCCCTCGTCGTCGTCGTCTTCGTTGGCGACGTCGTCGCCGTCGTCGTCGTCTTCGTCGTCGCCGTCGTCGTCGTCGTCGTCGTCGGCGGCGCCGTCGTCGTCTTCGTCGGCGGCGTCGTCGTCGTCGGCGATGTCATCGTCGTCGTCATCGTCGTCGTCAGCGTCGGCGTCGTCGTCGTCGGTGTTGTCGTCGTCGTCGTTGTCGTCGTCGTCGAAATCGTTGGAGACGTCGTCGGTGTCGTCGTAGTCGTTGTCGGCGGCGTCGTCGTCGTCTCCCCTCCTCCCTCGTCGTTGTCGTCGTCGCCGTCGTCGTCCGCCCTCCTCCCTCGTCGTCGTCGTCTTCGTTGGCGACGTCGTCGCCGTCGTCGTCGTCTTCGTCGTCGCCGTCGTCGTCGTCGTCGTCGTCGGCGGCGCCGTCGTCGTCTTCGTCGGCGGCGTCGTCGTCGTCGGCGATGTCATCGTCGTCGTCATCGTCGTCGTCAGCGTCGGCGTCGTCGTCGTCGGTGTTGTCGTCGTCGTCGTTGTCGTCGTCGTCGAAATCGTTGGAGACGTCGTCGGTGTCGTCGTAGTCGTTGTCGGCGGCGTCGTCGTCGTTGTCGCTGTCGTCGTCGGTGTCGTTGCCAAGTGTCATTTAGTCCCACCAGCCCTTTGGGCGTGAGTGGTTTAGCGAGCTCTCTCTGTCCTCAGCCCCCCTTCTTCCCCTTCGGGGAGGGGTTTACCTCTCCCCCTACCCCCTCCCCCTGGACCTGGAGAGGGAGTCCCGAGCGTCGTCAGGGGGGTCTTTTTCGACTCCTGGGAGGGCAAAACAAACGACGACCCTCACGAGGATTCTGGCCCCGGGGGGGGGGGGAGTTTGGCGCCTCAGCTCGTCTTTGAAGCCAAAAGCATTGATTTTACTAGGGTTGTGGCCCCATTTTGGCCTTCTGAGGGGGCCGCGCTCATCTTCCCCCATAGCAAAATCATTGATGTTACGAAGGTGTTGGGCTCATTTTGTCCTTCTCAGGGGGCAGCGCCCATCTGCGCTTCTGAGGAGGTCGCAAGAGGCCCCAAGATGGCCCCAAGAGGCCCCCAGGAGGCTCCCAAGAGGCCTCCAAGAGGCCCCCAAGAGGCCCCCAAGAGGCCCCAAGAGGCCCCCAAGAGGCTCCAAGAGGCCCCCAAGAGGCCCCCAAGAGGCCCCCAAGAGGCCCCCAAGAGCCCCAAGAGGCTCCAAGAGGCCCCCAAGAGGCCCCACGAGGAGCCCGAACGACTCACACCAGGACGAGAGACCCGAACGACTCACACCACGAGAGCCCGAACGACTCACACCACAAGGAAGGGCCCGAACGACTCACACCAGGACGAGGCGCCCGAACGACTCACACCACGAGGAGCCCGAACGACTCACACCACGACGCGGGCCCCGAACGACTCACACCACGAGGAGCCCGAACGAGTCACACCAGGAGGAGGGGCCCGAACGACTCACACCAGGATGAGGGGCCCGAACAACTCACACCACGAGAAGCCCGAACGACTCACACCAGGACGAAGAGCCCGAACGACTCACACCACGAAGAGCCCGAACGACTCACACCAGGAAGAAGGGCCCGAACGACTCACACCAGGACGAGAAACCCCAAACGACTCAAATCACGAGGAGCGCTTTCTCTCCCTCCTCCTCCGCCTCGTCCTTCTCCCGCTCCCCCCACAAGGAGGATGTACAAGGAGGCGGGAGGAAGGAGGAACAGGGGAGATATGCGGGGCCAAGCGGACACACGCCTGAAAAACACGACTGTCGGCATGCTTCGCAAGAGTTGCTGCTGTGAGATGGGCTGGTGGGGATACGCGAAGCGTAAAGAATACCCACCCTTCCGTGCCTTAAGAGGTCTTGCGACCAAGTTGCGGGTGGGAGGGTGGGATGTTTGCACGAGCAGTGGAGAGGACAGCTTCAAGTTGAGCAGGTGATTGATGGAACCCCATAGATCGCACGACATGTATTGCACAACATAGCTGCCACAACATAGCCGCTACAACATAGATCGCACCACATAGGTTGCACCACACAGATTGCACTATACTGCACCACCAATATATCACTATTTAGATTGCACTACTACATAGATTGCGCTACATAGATTGCTAGCAACACTCCGTTTGAGGCCCACGCTGGCAAACATGTATTTTGGCCAGATTAGCCACGATCCCTTCTAAAAAACACGGTACTCATGGCCGTGCTGTCGCCTCAATGCTGGCTACTCAGGTGCACATGGCCGTGCTCTCACCTCAATCTCGGCTACTCCCACCCCTGTCCCGCCTCTTCACCTTCGCTGCTTTTAAGGTCCCTTGCTGGAGCAAATTTAACTCCATGATGTTCGCCCAGTTTCAGGCCCCAGGGCCATCACTAAACAATCCGGCTCGAAAAATGGCACGGGATGGGGAGTGTCCAATCATGATATTGCACGATGTTAGTTTTGTCCGCAGCGTCGGATCTCAGGGTCCGCTCAAAATCGGCCCCCGGGCCTTTCCCTCGGTCCACCCTGACCCGCTTTTCGAGGCTGATCCAGCCGTGACGACGAGAAGCCCCCGGGAGGGCACGAGGAAACGCTAGGAAGGGCCGCCGCTGCCTCGACTGGCACCCATCGGCGCGCTTCTTCTTGTTCTTCTTCCTGCCCCCCCTCTGCTTGACCCGCACGGGGCGCTCGCCGCCGCTGCGGCGCCCCGCGCCCGCCAGCCCGTCCTCCTCCTCGCGGGCGGCAAGCACGCCCACATCTCGGGGGTTGCCAGAGGTGCCCCTGGCCCAGGGTGCCCCCAGCTCTTGGCTCCACCCTGGAGCCCCCATGGGCCCTCTGGGCCTCGCGAGGGGTGCTCTGGAGGCCGTGGGGGCCTCCCTGGAAATCCTGGGGGGCACCTCGGGCCAGAAGTACTTCTAGCAACACCCGAACATCTACTGCCTGCACGGTCTCGTCGGGGCCGCATCCAGGGGCCGCGACCCCGTGGACAGCCGGCGCGCGTCTCTGTTCGCGGATGCCCCGCGCGGAGTGCATCCATGCCACCGCGCATCCACGGGATCGCGCCCCGGAGTGCAGCACCCGCTGGGGCGTGGACCTGGATGCGTTCGCCGCTCGTGGTCCTCCCCTTCCCTCGCCCTGCCCCTGGCGTAGAGCGTGCAGTCGCTGGCCGCCTCCTCCTCCTCTTCGGCGGCTGCCCTCGAGGAGCCCCCCGCCGCGGGGCCCCGGCCGTCGGCGTCGCTCGCACAGCCGGCGTGCGGCACGAAGGTGGCTGCGCCCTGGAAGAACGGGTTGCTGTCCCAGCCGAGCCAGGGCCCCTTCTCGGGCGCGGCCTGGCCGGCCGCTGCCGTGGCTCGAGCCCCCAGAAGGACGACCCCGCTGCCCTCGGTCCGGGCCCAGGCCCGAAGCCGAGCCCGATCCTGAGCCCGAGCCTGAGCCCGAGACGAGCCGAGCCCGAGCGGCAGCCGCAGCAGCAGCTGCTGCCCGGGTCTCCGACCGCACGGCCCCACGTCCTGGAGCGAGGCGAGGGGATCGTCATGGAGGGGGTCGGCCTGCGGCAACTCATGGGAGCCTCCTGTACCCTGTACCCTGAACCGTCTTGCTGGCTCTTGCGAGTCGACGATCACCGACGCCAGTCGACGCTCGGTCAACGCTGAATCGACGATGAGCCAGCGCTATCTCATCCGAGGGTGCACAAGGCAGGGCGGCCCCTTGCCTCCAGGCACGGGCTGCCGCCCCAGCCCAGCCACGGCGCCACTGGGCCGCCACCGTTCAGCCACGGGCTCTCCCAGAGGAGGCCGCCATTGCCGCCGGGCGCGCGCGCGCCGCCGGGCCCCTGCCACTGCTGCCCCTGCTCGAGCTCCCCCTCCTCGAGCTCCCCCTCCTCGAGCTCCCCCTGCGGAGGTGGCCAGACGCCCGCCTCTAGGGCGTCAAGCGCCCCCCCAGCGAGCTCCCCCTCCTCGAGCTCGCCACCGCCCGCGCCCCCGAACTTGTCCACCTCCGCCTGCCGCGCCGCCCGGCCCCACGGCGCCAGCTCGGCGGCGCTGGCGGCAGCGTCGCAGGGGTCGCAGGAGCGGGGCGGCTGTGGCGGCTCGCCGGTCCGCCCAGTGGGGGCCCAGGGGCCCTGGCCATCGCCGGCGGCGCCGACGCAGTTCAGGTGGCCCTTCTGGCCGCAGCGGGTGCACCGGCACTGGGCCACGGCGACGGCGTCCTGAAGCGCGGCGTGGTACTGTGTGCTGGGGCACTCGCGCCGGGCGTGCCCGGGGCGGCGGCAGAGGGCGCAGAAGAGCTGCCGCCGGGGGCACTCAGTGGCCTGGTGGCCCTGCTCCGAGCAGAAGAAGCAGCGCTTGAAGCTGCACTCGGTGCTCTCGTGATCCAGCCTGCCACATGCCCAGCAGCCGACCACGACCTTGTCGGCCATCACGTCCCGGGAAGGCTGCTCGTCGAAAAAGCGCCTGCCGCCGCCAGTGCGCCTGCGCTTGCTGCCAGGAGCGGCCCCCGGGTGGCCCACGAGGTACGCGGCCAGCGAGGGCAGGTACTGCGGGCACGAGAGGGTCCTGTCGCCCAACTCCTCCTCCTGGGCAGCGTCCATGATGGCCGCGCACACCTCTGCGTCGGCGGCCTCTGACGGCTCCGCGGCTCCCCTGCCGAGCTGGAGCCACCCGGGCTCCCCAGAGTCCGAGCTGCCCCCGCTCGCGCCGCACGCCTCTATAGAAGAAGATGAACCGGCATGAACGTAAACTTTTGGTTCTCCGCGCGGATTTCTTGGATCTGCGCTGGACGCGGAGCGCGCCAGGGGACCCAAGAACTCCGCAACAGACCGCGCGGACCCAAGAAACCCGCTCGGAGCGCCAACAAGTTTGTTGATGTCGTTTTGCTCTTCTTCGAGCCTCGTCCACCACGCCCTCGCCCCCGTCGCCAGCCGCCGCCGGGAGCTCCCCGTGAGAGGTCGAAGCCTCTCCGGCGACCGCGCCCGCGGAGGCACCCTCCCGGCTGCAGGCGCGCGGCGAGAGCCCAGGCGGGAGCGGCCGGGGCTCCCCAGCCTCCACCACGAGGTCGTCCTCTCGGCCACCGTGGACAAACCTCCCACTCCCTCCTCCCTTCTTCCACCACCTCCTCCTCCTCCTCCTCCTCCTCCTCCTCCTCCTCCTCGTCGTCCTCCTCCCTCTCGGCCGCCCCCGCCGAGGAGAAGAGCGACCTTTGGTACGCAGCCTCAGGAGGCCGCGGCGTGGCCAGGTCCGCGCGCGCAGCCCTATGCGGGGTGGACCCCTGCAGGCCCACACTAAACTTCAGCGAAGGGTCACTCTTACCCTCAGATCCGACGCTGGGACAACAAAAATCATCGCAAAAAAACGCGGCCAGCACCCAGGACCCCGTCTTTCTGCGCCATTTTTCGAGCTGGATCGATCTGTGAGGGCCCCTGCGCCCGACACCCGGCCGAGACGCTCGGTGTGAAAAAGCTGCAACGCCAGGATTTGTCAGGGCACGCGTGGCCGAGTCCTCGTTGTCCCGGTCCACGCTGCTGACGCTCTCGGGGCTGAGCCCCCTCGGAGCCGCTGGCCCGTCCGAGTCCTCGCTGCGGTCGCTGTCCACGCAGACGACCTCGGCGGCCTGGCGGCAAGGGCGCTGCGCCGCACACCGCCTCTCGCCCGGCGTGCCGCCGCAGGCGGCGGCGAGCTCGCGGAGGTAAGGGTTGCCCGCCGGCGCTGCCTGGAGCGGGGGCCTTCTGTCCCGGGCAATCTTATAGGCCCACCAAGTAAGGTGCACAGAAGACAAGGATGTCAGCCAGCGGGGACCCTGGACAGGGTGTTTCCAGCAGTCTGTGTCGTGCAGCCAATGTGGAGCACGACACTAGAACAAGAAAATGTAGATATATGTACAAACATACATACATACATACATACATACATACATACATACATACATACATACATACATACATACATACATACATACATACATACATACATACATTACATACATACATACATACATACATACATACATACATACATACATTACATACATACATACAGACAGACATGCATACAGACAGACATACGCACATACCTTCATTCATTCATACATACATACAGACATACACACGCATACACACATACACACATCTACATAACCGCATACATACATACACAAATGCATACATACATACGTACATACATGTAAAATATACAGGTTGTGCAGTCGATGTGGCGCAACCGATGTAGTGCAATCTACGTGGTGCACCCTATACCGTGCAGACTATGTGGTGCAACCTATGTGAGGCTATTCACCTTGCCGAATTCGAAATTGTCGACTCTCTGCTCGCGAAATCATCCCACCCACCCACACTCAATTTGGTTCGCAAAACACATGCAGAGGCGATTGCGATGACATCTCTGCGGCCGCGCTAGCCCGCGCGTGTTCGCGCGCGCAGCGGCCAGCTAGTTTGGCGCGGCCGACGCGGACGCGGTGGCGCTGACCGCTAGGCACATCCCAGCGGGCACTCCAGTGCGAGTCGGCGACTTGGGCGGGCGCGGCATCGCGGAAACATCGACAATGGTAGACACGGCGATGATAGTAGCGATGCTGGTGACGACGTTGACAACGACGACGGCGCGGTCAGTGCGGGCGCCGATGCCTTATCACGCCAACGACGATGACGGCGTCCTCGCGTCGGTGATGAAGGTTTTGGAAAGAGTTCAACATGCGCCCGCGGCCGTCGCGCGAGGGTGGCCCGCATGGTAAGACTGGGCACGGATCGTACCCCTCAGCACGCGCGCAAGGGCGTGCGAATGATTTCGGCAGGTGGCGCCAGGGGCCCGTTTGGCAGAAGTCCATAAACAATGTGCTTGCTACCTGCAAAAAACTAGAGATGTCCTAAGAAATCACAATAGCGCGAGCGCGCGCTTATTGGTAAGCTGAAGTAGTGAAACCATGTGTCTATGTGGTTTGGGGATACTCAGATTTGAAACCGTTACGAAACCGAGGGTGTCTGAAGAATTCAGGCATGCGCGCGCGACGACGCGCGCGCACTTCGTCTCATTTGTTACCAGGGATTCTCGCGACGGCATGCGCGCAAGGGCGTTCGAACGATTTCGACATGCGCTCGCGCGAGGCCTGTTTGGTAGCATTCTGTCAATGATCAAAAGCCGATGGTTGCCGCAAACAATCGCAACAGAGCGCGCAAGCTTTCTCCCAACCATCCTACGATTTGTCCTCAACCATCCTGTGGTGTTGGGTCCTCGTTTTGAAGAGACAGCGCCCCGCGTCCCTCTCTTCTCCTCCTCCACCCCATCCTCCTCTCCCTCCCCTCCCCCTGCCATCCGCCTCGTCACCCCCTTGCGTTTCACCCACCCAGGACAACGCTTCGTGGCCCCCTAGGGAGCTCCACCGAAGGCTCCACTGGCACAGGCCGCATGCGTCAAAGCCACCCAGGACAGCGTTTCGTGGCCCCACAGGGAACTCCACCGAAGGCTCCAGTGGCACAGGCCGCCTGCGTCAACGCCGCCCAGGACAGCGCTTCGTGGCCCCACAGGGAGCTCCACCGAAGGCTCCAGTGGCACAGGCCGCATGCGTCAACGCCACCCAGGACAGCGCTTCGTGGATCCATAAGGAGCCTCACTGAAGGCTCCTGTGGCAGGGCCCGCATGCGTCAACGCCACCCAGACTGCGTTTCGTGGCCCCACAGGGAGCTCCACCGAAGGTTCCAGTGGCACAGGCCGCACGCGTCAACGCCACCCAGGACAGCGTTTCGTGGATCCATAAGGAGCCTCACTGAAGGCTCCTGTGGCAGGGCCCGCATGCGTCAACGCTACCCAGGACAGCGCTTCGTAGACCCACAGGGAGCTCCACCGAAGGCTCCAGTAACAGTGGCAGGGTCCGCATGCGTCAAGGCCACCCAGGACAGCGCTTTGTGACCCCATAGGGAGCTCCACCGAAGGATCCAGTGGCAGGGTCCGCATGCGTCAGCGCCACCCATGACAGCGCTTCGTGGCCCCACAGGGAGCTCCACCGAAGGATCCACTGGCAGGGTCCGCATGCGTCAACGCCACCCGGAACAGCGCTTCGTTGCCCCATACGGAGCTCCACCGAAGGCTCCTGTGGCAGGGTCCGCTTGCGTCAACGCCACACAGGACGGCGTTTCGTGGCCCCATAGGGAGCTCGACCGAAGGCTCCACTGGCAGGGTCTGCATGCGTCAACGCCACCAAGGACAAGACTTCGGGGCCCTATAGGGAGCTCCATCGAAGGCTCCAGTGGCGGGGCCCGCATGCGTCAACGCCACCCAGGACAGCGCTTCGCGACCCCACAGGGCTCTCCACCGAAGGCTCCACCGGCAGGGTCCGCATGCGTCCGCGCCACCCATGACAACGCTTCGTGGCCCCATAGGGAGCTCCACCGAAGGCTCTTGTGGCAGGGTCCGCATGCGTCAACGCCACACAAGGCAGCGCTTCGTAGCCCCATAGGGAGCTCCACCGAAGGCTCCAGTGGCAGGGTCTGCACGCGTCAACGCCACGCAGGACAGCGCTTCGGGGCCCTGTAGGGAGCTCCACCGAAGGCTCCAATGGCAGGGTCCGCATGCGCCAACGCCACTCAAGGCAGCGCTTCGTAGCCCCATAGGGAGCTCCACCGAAGGCTCCATTGGCAGGGTCCGCATGCGTCAGCGCCACCCATGACAGCGCTTCGTAGCCCCATAGGGAGCTCCACCGAAGGCTGCAGCAGCAGGGTCTGCATGAGTCAACGCCACCAAGGACAAGACTTCGGGGCCCTATAGGGAGCTCCACCGAAGGCTCCAGTGGCAGGGCCCGCATGCGTCAACGCCACCCAGGACAGCGCTTCGTGGCCCCACAGGGAGCTCCACCGAAGGATCCAGTGGCAGGGTCCGCATGCGTCCGCGCCATAGGGAGCTCAACCGATGGATCCAGTGGCAGGGTCCGCATGCGTCAACGCCAACCATGACAACGCTTCGTGGCCCGATAGGGAGCTCCACCGAAGGCTCCACTGGCAGGGTCCGCATGCGTCAATGCCACCCAGGACAGCGCTTCGTGGCCCCACAGGGAGCTCACCGAAGGCTCTTGTGGCACAGGCCGCATGCGTCAACGCCACCCATGACAGCGCTTCGTAGTCCCAAAGGGAGCTCCACCGAAGGCTCCAGTGGCAGGGTCCGCATGCGTCAACGCCAAGCAGGACAGCGCTTCGTGGCCCCACAGGGAGCTCCACCGAAGGCTCCTGTGGCAGGGTCTGCAGGCGTCAACGCCACCAAGGACTGCGCTTCGTGGCCCCATAGGGAGCTCCACCGAAGGATGGACTGGCAGGGTCCGCATACGCCACCCACGACAGCGCTTCGTGGACCCATTGGGACCTCCACCGAAGGCTTCAGAGGCACAGTCCGCGCGCGTCAACGCCACCCATGACAACGCGTCGTGGCCCCATAGGGAGCTCCACCGAAGGCTCCAGTGGCAGGGTCCGCATGCGCAGGACAAAGCTCCGTGACTCCATAGGGAGCTCCGCCGAAGGCTCCAGTGGCAGGGTCCGCATGCGTCAACGCCACCCAGGACAGCGCTTCGTAACCCCATAGGGAGCTCCACCGAAGGCTCCACTGGCACAGGCCGCATACGCCAATGCCATCCAGGACAGCGCTTCGTGGCCCCATAGGGAGCTCCACCGAGGACAGCGTTTCGTGGCCCCATAGGGCGCTCAACCGAAGGCTCTGGTGGCACAGGCCGCATGCGTCAACGCCACCCAGGACAGCGTTTCGCGGCCCCATGGAGAGCTCCACCGAAGGCCCCAGTGGCTGTGTCCACATGCGTCCGCGCCACCGACTTCGGCACACCCCTCGCACGTTTCGTGGCCCCACATAGGGAGCTCGACCGAAAGCGGTACCCACAATGCGGCACTCGCAGCTGCATATGGTTGGGTCCTTCGTCAGGCCATTGAGATGGTGTTTGGACATGGACACTCGGTGTTGAAGTCTTCGCGAAACCGAAAGTTTTTGAAGGATTGCGGCATGCGCGTGTGCGCACTTCGTCCCATATGTTTGCAAGGAATTCTTGGAAACTAATGATTTGTGATAAACGAGTTCGCGCGCATTGCACGTTTTGCAGAACAAGGCGGGGGGCGATACCCGCCCCCTGGGATAGTGTGAATTCATATTTAGGATGGACGGTGCCGCAGAATCATAAGCATGTTGCACATCCCCGGCCTCGGGAGTGTGGTGAAGTCTATGACCTTTTGGAGAGAAGAATCTATGCTATGCAATTGGTTTTAGCAAACGAGTTGACACATCCCGTGATCTCGCAAACATCCCACCCACCGACCCGTAACTTCGTTTGCAAAACCTACAAGGTGGCGATTGCGATGCAAGCTCGGCGTTGGCTGGTGCGTCTATGCGGCCGCGCCAACCCAAGCACGCGCGTGCAGCCGCCAGCTGGTTTGGCGCGACCGACGCGGCCGCGGTGGCGCTGATCGTTGGGCACATACCAACGGGCACTTCATTGCAAGTCGGCGGCTTGGGCGGGCGCGGTATCATGGCAACGTCGACAAAGGTAGACGTTGCGGGCGAGTCTCCAAGGACTTCGACGACGACGACGACGACAACAACGACGACGACGACAACACCGACAACGCCGACGACGACAACGCCGACGTTGACGACGACGACGACGACGACAATGACAACGCCGACGACGACGACGCCGCCGCCGACGACGACGACGACGCCGCCGACGACGACGGCGACGACGACGACGGCGACGACGAAGGCGACGACGACGACTACGACGACGACGAGGGAGGAGGGAGGACGACGATGGCGACGACGACAACGACGAGGGAGGAGGGAAGACGACGACGACGACGACGACGACGACGGCGACGAAATAGGAAGGACAACGACGAAACGCCGACGAAGACGACGAGGGCAGAAGGACGTCCACAGCGACAACGACGACGGAAACGACGACGACGACGCCAAGACGACGACGACGACGCCGAGGAGAGATAGGACAACGGCGACGACGACGAGGGAGGAGGGAGGACGGCGACGACGACGACGACGACTCAAAAGCGCGCGCGCACGTTTTTGTTGAAAATTCGTGTTGCGAAACCTTGTGTGTTTGTATGTGTCTTGGACACACAACTTTGAAAATCCTTACGAAACATGAGGTTGTTGAAGGATTTCGGCATGCGCGCGCGATGACGCGCGCGTCTGCACTTCGTCCCATGTGTTGCAAAGGATTCGCACGACGGCACACGCGCAAGGGCGTTCGAAAGATTCCGACATGCGCGCGCGAAGTCCGTCTGGTAGTATTGTTTGAGAATCTTGGAAAAAAACAATGGCTTTCGTACGATTTCGCAAGAACGCGCGCGTAAGCTTTTTGTGAAAATCCGTGTTGCAAAACCCTAGTTGTTGTATGTCGTTTGGGAACTCGATGTTGAAATCCTTCCGAAACCGAAAGTTTTTGAAGGATTTCGGCATGCGCGCACGACGACGCGCGCGTCTGCACTTCGCCCCATTGTTTGCAAGGGATTCTTGCAAACTTATGACTTTTGATAAACGAGCGTGCGCGCATAATATTTTGTGCAGGGCATGGCGGGGGGCGCGATACCGGTTTGGCTGGGATAATATGAGTTCATATTCAGGATGGACGATGGAAGAGAATCATACATATGCACGTTGCGATACAAAAAGATGACCCGTTAACTCCTGGGGGAGAGTCTTTTCTTTTTGTGGGAAGGAGAATCTACGCGGGGCAATCTACGAGGCACAAAGCAACGGGGCGGCGACGAGGCGACGACGGGGCGGCGACGGCGACAGCATAGCCGCCAGACTGCAACACTGGCTCAAACGACGGGCGGCGGCGAAGGGGCGGCGACGGCGACAGCATAGCCGCCAGACCTCCACACCAGCTCAGTTCCTTTTAACAAATAAGGACCCCTAAGTGCAAGCACTGTCTGATATTGTTCTGGGGAAGAAACAATAGACAAGGTTGTCAGAGCATGAAGACGATGCATTGAAACAAACCTGCCTCTGCCAGAAGCTGTTTGAAACATTCCGAAGGCCTTAACCGCAATCGGTTATTCAACAAAACCGTCAATAATGGCACACTTGTTCCCAGCCATCCTGTGGTGTTGGGTCCTCGTTTTGAAGAGACAGCGCCCCGCGTCTCCTCCTCCTCCTCCTCCTCCTCCTCCTCCTCCTCCTCCTCCTCCCCCTCCTCCCTCCTCTCATACGCCTCGGCACATCCCTGCGTTTCACCCACCCAGGACAGCGCTTCGTGGCCCCATTGGGAGCTCCACCGAAGGCTCCAGTGGCACAGGCCGCATGCACCAACGCCGCCCAGGACAGCGCTTCGTGGCCCCACAGGGAGCTCCCCCGAAGGCTCCAGTGGCACAGGCCGCACACAGGTCGCATGCGTCAGCGCCACCCAGGATAGCGCTTCGTGGCCCCATGGGGAGCTCCACCGAAGGCTCCAGTGGCACAGGCCGCATGCGTCAACACCACCCAGGACAGCGCTTCGTGGCCCCATTGGGAGCTCCACCGAAGGCTCCAGTGGCACAGGCCGCATGCGTCAATGCCACCCAGGACAGCGCTTCGTGGCCCCATGGGGAGCTCCACCGAAGGCTCCAGTGGCCCAGGCCGCATGCGTCAAAGCCGCCCAGGACAGCGCTTCGTGGCCCCACTCCACCGAAGGCTCCAGTGGCACAGGCCGCCTGCGTCAACGCCGCCCAGGACAGCGCTTCGTGGCCCCACAGGGAGCTCCACCGAAGGCTCCAGTGGCACAGGCCGCATGCGTCAACGACAACCAGGACAGCGTTTCGTGGCCCCACAGTGTGCTCCAAGGCTCCAGTAGCACAGGCCGCATGCGTCAACGCCGCCCAGGACAGCGCTTCGTGGCCCAGGAGCTCCACCGAACGCTCCAGTGGCACAGGCCGCATGCGTCAACACCACCCAGGACAGCGCTTCGTGGCCCCATTGGGAGCTCCACCGAAGGCTCCCAGTGACACAGGCCGCATGCGTCAACGCCACCCAGGACAGCGTTTCGTGGCCACATTGGGAGCTCCACCGAAGGCTCCAGTGGCACAGGCCGCATGCGTCAACGCCACCCAGGACTGCGCTTCGTGGCCCCATTGGGAGCTCCACCGAAGGCTCCAGTGGCACAGGCCGCATGCGTCAACGCCACCTAGTACAGCGCTGTGTGGCCCCATAGGGAACTCCACCGAAGGATCCACTGCCGCATGCGTCAACGCCACCCAGGACAGCGCTTCGTGGCCCCATAGGGAGCTCCACCGAAGGCTCCAGTGGCACAGGCCGCATGCGTCAACACCACACAGGACAGCGCTTCGTGGCCCCATAGGGAGCTCCACCGAAACCGGTACCCACAATGCGGTACTCGCAACTGCATGTGGTTGAGTCCTTCGTCAGGCTATTTTTGTTTGTTGGGGGGGCCGCGGGCTTATTGACGGACCGGTAAGTTTAGCAATACCGACAAAATAATTGTTGACGCTTCGCAAATCCCCACCAGTTTCCGGGAGTGCGCGTGGTTTCCTTTCATCCGTTGGCTCAGGTTCAATTACGGTGTTGATCACATCTATCATTTCCCTGGCTACTCCGCTTTGCCGTTGGTGTTCACTCTGAGCACGGTTTGACGACAAGTGTCCGGATCAGTACTCCCTTCAGGAGTCTCGTGGTGTGCGACTTTGGTGGCGTCACTTCCATGCACTAGTTCCATGGCCAGTGAGTTCCCCCTGGCCTAGCTGGTGTCAGCGTTCCCAGTGATGATGCTCCTGGCCACATCCTGGTATCGCCCCCGCGCCATTTTGGCTGCGCTCCAACCTCGGTTGGCTAATTCTGTATGCGCTCGCTCCTGGGCCTGGTTCCTGGCAGCTGCAGCCCGCACCCCCTCGCGCTGCCCGGTTAGCTTATGTGCTGCTTAGGCCGCCGGTTAGTCGGCGTTAGGCAAGTAGGTTCGCGCGTAGCCGGCTCGAGACCCTTGACGCCGCCTGCGCCTTCGCTTGCGGCTGCGACAAAAAAGCATCTCCACCAGCCCATCCAGAAACGATGCCCAGGGGAGTTGAGGTGGTCAGGGAAGTGGGGGAGCATGCAGAAGAACAAAAGGCGGGGGAAGCCGCCCGATACCCCAAGAGGGGATGGAGGAGGAATCGTAGTCGGAGGAGCAGGATGAGGAGGAGGAGGTGGAGCAGGGCGAGGGCGATGAGGACGAGGAGGAGAAAAGGAAGAGAGAGTTGGGTACCTCAGGGATCCTCTTGAGGCCTCGTACGGGTCTCTTGGGAGCCTCTTGGAAGCCTCTTGGAGCCGTTTGGGCGCCTCTTGGGGCCCTCTTGGGGCGCTCTTGGGAGCTTCAAGGACGCTCTTGGGGCCATCTTGGAGGACGCCGATCGAAAAAGAAGAGAGCTCAAACTATCCTCCCCCGCGGGAGCACCGAAAATCGCCTCCTGGACCCCTCTTGGAGCGCTCTTTGGGCCTCTCCTGGGGCTCTCTTGGGCCATCTTGAAGCCATCTTGAAGCCATCTTGAGTCCTCGGATGGCCATCGGAAGCGAAAAAGCGAGAAAGCAAATTCTCAGTGACTTTCCTGAGGTGGTTGAAAGATGTTGGCTTCTTGGGGGCCTCCCTGAAGTCTCGGAAGCCACCTGGAGCCGTCTAGGAACGTTATTGGGGCCTCTTGGAGCATCTTCGGAGCCATCTTGAGGCATCGCGCGCCATCCTGAGCCATCTTGGAAGTCATCTTGGGCTCTCCGAGGCGCTCTTGCAGCCGTCTTGGGCCATCTTGAACGCACCAACTACCCGCGACCACTCCCGTCCAGGTCCAGGGGGAGGCGAGGGGGGAGGGGTATAACCCTCCCCGAAGGGGAAGAAGGGGGTTGGAAGAGAAGCCGCCCCAGACCACCTACGCCCAGAAAGCTGGTGGGATTATTTCCGCGCAGCAGTCACCGCTGATGATCGGGGGAGATGAAGATCCCTGATGGTGATGATGATGGCGATGCTTATGATGAGGGGGAGCACAAGGAGGGGAAGGACGAATCTTACAACATTGGCAGCCGAGAGCTTACGAGGAGGGAGGGCCGGCTAGCATTAAAGACCCGACTGGATCAGAATAGTGTTTGGTGGACCCATGAGCGGGTCGGGACGCTTCCCTCCGCTCGGCTACACGCAAGAGTGACCCTGGGTAAGAGTGACCTTTGGTGCGCGGCTTTGGGGGGGCCGCGGGGTGACCACACACAGGCGCGCAAGGCGCTGCTATCGCATCGCGTTCGGCGATCGGTGGACCCCAGTGTGCCCGCACCAAAGGTCACTCCGGCGAAGGGTCACTCTTACGTCTAGTCGATCCGCACTCGCCAGGGCCTCGAGCGCCGCCTCGGCCTCGTGCCGCGCCGGCGCCGTGGCACTGGCCGCACCTCAGAGGAGCAGGAGGTCATGATAATGATACGTTCCAAGATCTCCAGAGTTCCCAAGACTTCCCAATGGCCCAAAAGGGGGCTGCAGAAACGAGGGACGCAAAATACTTTTTGGAAGCCATGGAGCATATCCTGAGCCAATCCTATCATGGCATCTTTGTCGTCCAGGTACCAGTGCCACCGCCGCCGCCGCCTGCCTCTGCGGCGCGGCTGACGCCGCGGTAGCCCAGGAATGCCGCGCGCCCCGCGAAGCCGCCATCGTGGGCGAGGCGCGCGCCTGGGCAGGCCCTGAGATCCAAGCGTTGCAATTTGTTCACGCCGGACGCTTTCGCCCGGCATCGGGCCCCAGAGCCATCATTGATCGACTCGGCTCGAAGAATGCCGCACGAAGATGGGATCCGCGGCTGCGGTCGTTATCTTCCGCGGTGCTGCAGCTTTTCGCAGGTCGACTCCCCGGGGAGGGCTGTGCCAGTCCTGGTCGGGACTGGGGGTGGGGTGGGTTTTCGCATTCTCAGAGGAGGAGGAGGAGGAGGAGGAGGAGGAGGAGGAGGAGGAGGAGGAGGGGGAAGGGAAGGAGGAGGGGGACAAGGAGGAGGAGGAGGAGGAGGAGGAGAGGAGGAGAAGGGAGAGGAGGCCGGGCTCGTGCTGGGCCCGGGGCTGGTGCGGGCGCCTCTGCCTCGTGGTGGCCCGGGATATCTCTGGGGCACGAGCGGCCTGTGGGGCGCGGCTGCACGGTGGGCCGCGGGGTCCAGCTCCAAGAGCGGCCGGCCAGTGCTCGGGGGAGGGGAGGCTCTGTAAGCCTGCATCAGCAGTCGCTCTGGCCTGGCCCTGGGAAGGTGCCTGCACTGGTGCGGGGCCCAACATCGGCCTGGCCGGGGGATCGGCGCGCCCAAGCATCATACGTCGTCATTTTTCTCACACCGTGGAGAGCGTTCTGTATTCTTCGGGGGTAACCTGGGTTATGTGGCGGGGGGGGGCAGCCGATAATTAACTTTTTTTCGCTTTGGGCGGCCCCACGTATGCCCGCGCGCACCAGCGCTGCATACTCCCTCCGAATCTGCACAACCGACAAGGTCCCGTTCTGCGGAGGGGGAGGGGGGGTGCGGGCCGGAGCAATAAGCTGGGTGATCGCTGGATCCTACAACAGTCTCGTGGCTCCCCAGGGGCGGCTCCTCCTCCTCAATTCCTTCTCTTTACAAGAAAATTCTCCCTATCGCACCCCGAGGCCAGGTTTTAGGGCGGGCCGAGCGTTTCGCCTGAGACTTTCTCACCGCTTATGATTCTGAAGCTTAAAAAGTGGCAACAGCTTCACAGATGGAGGGCGTGTCGTTTTCAACATGTGGCTCTCACCTTAGCGCCGCACACATTCGTTTCAAACATCTGCAAGAGCTTCACGGATTGAGGGCGGGTCGCTTACAACACGTGGCTCTCGCCTTAACGCCGCGCACATTCGTGTTGTAAATGTGTAAGAGCTTCACGGATTGAGGGCGGGTCGTTTTCAACATGTGGCTCTCGCCTTAACGCCGCGCACATTCGAAAAATCGCAAGAGCTTCACGGATTGAGGGCGGGCCGTTTTCAAAATGTGGCTCTCGCCTGAGCGCCGCGCGCATTCGTTATAAAACAAATCCCAGCGTTTCACGGATTTCCATGATCAGCGTACGAGACATGGTGTTTTGGACGGATTCAGGATTGTGCGGGCGCGACAGTTACGTTGATTCGCTGTGTTGAATTCCCAAAATGGCGTTCTGGCACGACTCTGGATCGTCAAGACGCAACAGTCAGGTTGATACGTGGCGTTGAAATCCCGAGAACATTGTTTTGGCACGCTTCAGGATCTTCAAACTGATGTTTTCCAGCGAGGCAGTTCCCTCAATGGAAATGAACCGTTGCAGGGGCCTATGCAGAGGGAGCTTGGAGGGAGGGTGAATTCCGACATCGTTGATGCCTCTTGGGTTTACACTGGTCCTCCTCCTCCGCCTCCGCCTCCGCCGCCGCCTCCGCTTCCGCCGCCTCCTCCTCCTCCTCCTCCTCCTCCTCCTTCTCCTCCTCCTTCTCCTCCTACTCTTCCTCCTCCTCCCCCTCTTCCTCCTCCTCCTCCGCCTCCGCCTCCGCCTCCTCCTCCTCCTCCTCCTCCTCCTCTCCTCCTCCTCCTCCTCCTCCTCCTCCTCTTCCTCCTCCTCCTCCTCCACCTCCTCTTCCTCCTCCTCCTCCTCCACCTCCACCTCCGCCTCCGCCTCCGCCTCCGCCTCCTCCTCCCCTCCTCATCCGCCTCCTCCGCCTCCTCCTCCTCCTCCTCCTCCTCCTCCTCCTCCTTGTCCTCCTCCTCCTCCTTGTCCTCCTCTTCCTCCTCCTCCAATCGTCTTCCGAGGGGGAGGAAGACCCCCTCCCCAGGGGCGGCTCTGTATCCCAAGTCTTCTCTGCACGGCCCCAGGGGGGACGGGGCACGGCACGGGCCCCAGAAGTGCCGGACGCCTCCCGTCGCCCCGCTTTCTGCCCGAGGCCCGCCTCCGGAAGCCCACCAAAACGGCCAACGCCCGCTCCGAGCAGGGCCCCCGTATAGGCAGGAACTGTCTGGTAAAGCAGGAAGCTGGCGCACCCAAGAAAACTGCAGCAGGGGGTCGAGACGTTCTCCAGCGTTCGCTCTCTCTCCGTCCAGACGTGGTGCAAGGTCCTGGTCCCAGACATCCGGCGCCTCGGCGTCTTCGAGACACGGGCCCCCGACCTCTCGACCACTTCCCAGGGGCCAGTCTTTCATCCCGAATTGGTGATTGACTGTCCCAGGGCCCAGGAAGGGCCCCGAGAGGCCGAAAACGATGAAAATGGGGAAACCAGAAGGTAGCGATGCCGCTACTCTCTGGACCTCTCCAGGGGTGCTTTCTGACCAGGATTTTGCGGCGAATCCAGCGGTGGCGACGAGGGCCTCCCAGGAAGCCCCAAAAGGGAAAAACGAGGGAAACGCGGCGGTATCGGTACCTTTTCCTCGCTCTTGGGAAAAACCTCAGTCGCGATTTGCTCGACCGGGAGGTGCAGCGTCCTTGCCTCTGGGCGGAGCGGAGCGGCGCGCGCTGTACACCATGGGGCCCGAGGGCCCGGCCCGGAACGGGGCGGCGCGGCGGGGCCCCGGCCCCGGAACCGCAGAAGACTGCCAGATGTCTTGGGGGCCTGGCCCGATTTCGGTGGCAACTCCTGCGCGTCCCCCTCCCCCTCCTCCTCCTCCTCCTCCTCCTCCTCCTCCTCCTCCTCCTCCTCCTCCTCCTCCTCCTCCTCCTACTCCTCCTCCTCCTCCCCTCCTCCTCCTCCTCCTCCTCCTCCTCCTCCTCCTCCTCCTCCTCCTCCTCCTCCTCCCTCCTCCTCTCCTCCTCCGCCTCCTCCTCCTCCTCCTCCTCCTGCTCCCGTCCCCCATACCATCTTGTCGGCTCTTGCGACTGAATCGACGCCAGTCGACGCTAAATCGACGCTAAATCGACGCTATCTCATCAACTCTCAGTCTCTAATCGACGCCAGTCGACGCCAAAGATGGCATTGAGAGGATATACCAGGCTCCCGTGATTTGCTACCGAATCGCGTGACCACCTACTGACCCGATGACCCCTGAGATGCTACGTGGCGAGCAAAGCTGCAACGCAGCGAAAAATCACGGCCAGAGCTCCAGACTCGACTCCAGACCACACCTCGCTGCCCCCGTTGTTCGAGCCCGATGGCCCCGGGGCCCGAGAGTGGGCGCACACGCCCGGTGAGAATGGCAGCGCCCAGAGCTCATGGCTGCTCTTGCCTCACTTCAGGGGGCCTGGGCCGACTTCTGTTCGAGGGCGCTGGATGTCTGCGCGGGGCTCTGGCAGCTGCTGGGGGCGTCCAAGCGGGGGGGAGCGCAAATCCTGGCCCGAGTCATGTGCACGGGCCAAGGGGGGGGGGCCAGGGAGCGCACTAAAAGAAGAGGGTGAGCCATTGACATCTGGGGAGCCATCGTGGCCCTGGCCAGGATATCCACCCCCCTGATCATCACCTCCTCCTCCACCTCCTCCTCCTCCTCCTCCTCCTCCTCCTCCTCCTCGTCCAACTCCTCCTCTCCTCCTCCTCCTCCTCCTCCTCCCTCCTCCTCCTCCTCCTCCTCCTCCTCCCCTCCTCCTCCTCCTCCTCCTCCTCCTCCTCCTCCTCCTCCTCCTCCTCTCCTCCTCCTCCTCCTCCTCCTCCTCCTCCTCCTCCTCCTCCTCCTTCCTCCCTCCTCCTCCTCCTCCTCCTCGCTCCCTCCTCCTCCCTCCTCCTCCTCCTCCTCCTCCCTCACTCCTCCTCCTCCTCCTCCTCCTCCTCCTGCTCCCGTCCCCCATACCATCTTGTCGGCTCTTGCGACTGAATCGACGCCAGTCGACGCTAAATCGACGCTAAATCGACGCTATCTCATCAACTCTCAGTCTCTAATCGACGCCAGTCGACGCCAAAGATGGCATTGAGAGGATATACCAGGCTCCCGTGATTTGCTACCGAATCGCGTGACCACCTACTGACCCGATGACCCCTGAGATGCTACGTGGCGAGCAAAGCTGCAACGCAGCGAAAAATCACGGCCAGAGCTCCAGACTCGACTCCAGACCACACCTCGCTGCCCCCGTTGTTCGAGCCCGATGGCCCCGGGGCCCGAGAGTGGGCGCACACGCCCGGTGAGAATGGCAGCGCCCAGAGCTCATGGCTG